TCCAGTTTTTGTGAATTCCTTTTGCCCTCTGAATAATATGTGCCCATCACCACCCTGCTGTAATTGATACTGATGTGTATGTGCTTTATAACTTGTTTTTCTGTTCTGCTGGCCATAGTAGTATGCCTTTAAGATGTACTTCAGAGCTGAGAGTTTAGGCAGTTCTTAAAGGTGCTATTTACTAGCAATATAAGGAAAAGAAGCATTCCTTGGTTGCAGTCCCAAATGAGAAGATAGTTCTGGATTGAGAAGACAGGAAGCCATACTGACCATCCAGTCTCTTTCCCTTAAGGCTCAGGAAGTAGGGGTGCAGGGAGGGAGGGAAGGAGGGAAAAGACAGGAGAAGAGAGGAGAGGGGAAGGAAGGGGAGGGGAGAAGAGGGGAAGGGAGGGGAGGGGAGAGAAACAGAAGAGAAAAGAGAGGAGGGGCGGGGAGGGGAGGGGAGGAGAGGGGAGGGGAGGGGAGGAGAGGGGAGGGGAGGGGAGGGGAGGGGAGGGGAGGGAAGGGAAGGGAAGGGAAGGGAAGGGAAGGGAAGGGAAGGGAAGGGAAGGGAAGGGAAGGGAAGGGAAGGGAAGGGAAGGGAAGGGAAGAGAGAAGAGAAGAGAAGAGAAGAGAAGAGAAGAGAAGAGAAGAGAAGAGAAGAGAAGAGAAGAGAAGAGAAGAGAAGAGAAGAGAAGAGAAGAGAAGAAAAAGTTCATGAGCTCCCTCTGCTGGATCTGGGACAGACCTGTGCAAGGGAATTGTAGTGACAGGGCGCCCCCAACCAAAGACAGAAGGAAATTTCCAGTTCTGTCTGTAGCTACCATTGTGTTCCTGTATACAGAAATTTAGAGGCAGGTGGATATGGCGGTACACACCTGTAATCCCAGCTACGAAGGAAATATCGAACTGGAGGCCAGCATGCACTACACAGAGAGTAAACAGGTTTCAGCACGTAGGCCTGCTTAGGAACGCTTAACACAGTGGTACTTAGTAGATTCTCTCTTACTCCCCCCCCCCCTCCTTTTTTATGGTTCACTTGTTAAGACAGGGTCTCTCTACAGAGCTCAGGTTGGCCTTGAACTTGTGACTCTCCAGCTCAGCTTTCTAACTCCTGTGGTTATCAGTGTGTATCCCACCCTACACAATGGACTGACCCGTGTTTATCATTCTTCAGCTTTGCTTGGATGACAAATGTCCCGAACAGCTGTGTTTTATCAGCTCAAGATTTTAAGTATTCCATCCTCTGGGCCATTAGGGTAGGAACTTTCTTCTCCTTGTTTGGCTTTACTCTAAAAGCACTGAGCCTTCTGTCTGGCCTGGGGACTCACCTTGATAATTAACCAAGACCCTCAGGCTGCAGCATCCACTTCCTCCTTTGAAGACCTTCTGGGGGAGATGTTTACACAGGGCTGACTTTTCCTGGAGCCGGATTGTTATGCTAAGTGAGCTCATCTGGAAAGCCAGTGGGTAAGAATTGCTGGGATGTGTTAGGCACTTTGCTAGATACCCTGGCCAAGAAAGACTAGGTCTGCCAGATTTAACTGAAAAGTGTGGGCCTCAGTTTGCTTGTTTGAGAAAGGAGCTTGCTATATGGCCCCTTCTGGGCTAGTACTGGATATGAAGCTCGTGTTGGTCCTGAACTTGCAGCAATCCTCCTGTCTCAGCCTCTAGAATGCTAGAAATCACCACCATGTCTGGTAATGTTAGTTTATTTTGAACTCTCAGTTTCTCAATGTTCTCGTCAAGATCCAGTCAGTGGGCTTGCGTGTGAACATAGATGTTGTCCTCTGAAGACTTTGTGTATGCTGTGGGCATACCAGCCTCCCTGCCATGGAAGATTTGGGGAAACTAAACAGATTCTCGAACGGGGTCCACCCTGATCCCCAAAAGCTGGATTTGTAGACTGACAAATCTTCCTGATTTGCCCAAGACTGAGGGGATTTGGAGGGGTGGAACCTTGATACCAAATTTAGCAATGTCCCTAGTAAACTGGGAGGAGTTGGTGGCTTTACTGATTGGAAAGGACAATGCCTTGTTCGTAATTAGGGGTTCAGAAGCACATAGGACCATCTCATGGAGAAGCCTGAGAGACGCAGGGTGACAGGGACTCCCAATGTGCCTCTTCATAGATGACCAGGAATAAAGAACTTAGCTCTGGTAGTACCAACTGAGCATCAGGTCTCAGCTCAAAGGGCCAGCAACCTCTCCCCTACGTCTAGTGGTAAGGATTTGGCACTCTTGGAAGATCAGAGAGGCCAGCACAATGTCTAGTATTTAATCCTTCCTCTTTATATGGTCCCCCATCATGCTCAGGGCACTCTTGAGACTTAGAAGGGTAAAGGATGTGGGAAAGATTTGAATTGTATCCAAGGCCCCACATGACACATCTGTCAGCTCAGTCCCCGGGGGATCTGGGCATGAAGATGCTACCGCTGAGGCTCAGAGGAGATAGAGCAAGAGTTCAGAGAGCAAAACAGTAACTAAAGATGGTGAACGGGTCCATGGTCAGAGAATCGGAGGCAACAGCATCTCTGGTTAGCTATAAAGCTCTGGCCCAACTTTCAGGATTCTCAGACGAAAACCACCAAAAGACCTGGTGTTTCCATTAAAGTTATACATTTCTGGAAATTTCCAGAAATACTTAGAGAAGTAAGCACTAAAGAAAAATAATGAAAGCCTACTAGTTATCAGTTATGGGTGGGAAGGCTTGAGGTGAGGATTATTATTTTAAACACAGCTTGGGGCTATCATGCTATCATTATGCAAAACTGTCTAGCCAAGCTTGAAACATAGAGACCATAATTACACTAAGCTATTATAAAAAAAAATCCAAAAACTTTCTATCAAGTACAAGTACTCGAAGAAAAACACCTGATCATGGGTTATGGCTCAATGAGTTTTCCAAGGAAATTTCTGGATAGCCACTGTCTTCATACAGGTTCACAAGAGGCTGGTGCTGTCTGTTCTTGACCTTTAGATAAATGGTGGCACCCGTGGTTCTTGGTTTTCCTTCTTTGACTCAACATTACGTGTGTGAGGGTCATCCGGATCATGATGCCAGGCTACAGCTTATATTTTCAGTACCGTAGGAGATCCCATTAGAACATGCAGAATTTACTCATCGATTCTACTGCAGGTGGACTTTTGTGCTGTTTCAATCTGGACTTCCAGGATGAAGTACTGGTGTGGACTTTCCACCACACAGATTTTTGTAAAGGGAGGTGGGGCATCACCTGTAGGCCAGACTGGGGACCACAGGCCTATGTACTTATTTTGAGCATTTCTGCTGTGTGGGGGTCTGCAGTACCATCTGCCCCTGTGTGGAGGTCAGAGAACAACTTGTAGGCGACAGTTCTTTCCTTTTGCTCTGTGGTGCCTGGGGCTTGAATTGAGTCAGGCTTGGCAGCACGCCCGTAGCCCATAGCCTCCTGAGCTGCCTCACCAACCCCAAAATGTTAATTACACTTTATTCTCAAAAAGAGCAGATAATTTTGGATCCTAACTATTAATATTTTTTCAAGTGTCACCAACTGGAGCCCTCAAGATGGAGATTCAAACAGTGTTACAACTTGTATTTCCAATGTCTGCAGTGATCATGTATGGAAACCTTTGTCCCCAGCAGGTGGCACTATCGGGAAATGGTGACAGCTTCAGGAGATGGAACCTGACTACAGAAGATAAGTCACTGAAGGAAATGATGGGATTGTGCCACCTCCCAATAAAGTGTGTTCTCCACCATAGTCACCTGCGTCTCTACAGAAACATTGGAGCCAGAGACTGTGACCCGGAAAGAGAAGTCTTTCTTCCTCCAATTGATTGTCTCAGGTTGTGTCACAGGCACAGAAGGCTGGCTAACACCAACGGCTTCTCGCTTTCTGAGGAAGTTGAAAGCACCTTCAGAGATATGACTTGTAGATAATCCTTTCCATTGAGTATGCTGGGCAGGGGTCTGTAATTTCAGCCCTTGGCAGATTGAGGCAGGAGAATCGCTAGGAGTTTGAGGCCTAACTTGGCTGTGTGGTAAGTGCCAGGACAGCCTGGGCTACATAGCAAGACCTGGGTCTGGGGACGGAGAGAAAGCTAACCATATAGCAGATGGTTCAGGGAGTAAAAGTGTTTTTGCCACAGCCGGTCAGTGGTGGCACACGCCTTTAATCCTAGCACTCAGGAGGCAGAGGCAGGCGGATCTCCATGAATTCGAAGCCAGCCTGGCCTACAAGAGCTAGTTCCAGGACAGGCACCAAAAATTACAGAGAAACCCTGTCTCAAAAATCAATCAATCAATCAATCAATCAATCAATAAAAATTTTAAAAAAGTGTTTGTCACAGAGCCTGTCTTCCTGAATTCAATCCCAGCAACCCAAGTGAAGGTGGAAGGAGAGAACGGACTAACTCTCCACATGTGCCCATACACACACATCATACACAAACAATAAAAATAATAAATAAAATACCTTTAAAGCAATTTAAAATGAGAAAAGAACAAAACATTGCATATGAGAACATTTCCTAAGCCAAGCACGTTGGTACACACCTGTCACCCCAGCACTTGGAAGGTGAAAGCAGGAGGACCCAGAGTTCAAGGTCCTCCTCTACAGAGTGAGTTCAAGTGCAGCCTGGGCAACATGCTATCTAAGTAAGTCCACTAAAGGTACTGTCTTGTCAAGCTGCACTTGGATGTAACTGTTTCTTTGGTCTGTCTTCGGTGCCCAATGTAGTGTTTGTTTACCTCTCCCCAGGAAAAGGAATACTATGCTAGGCTCCTGAATGCAGACGCCTTTGGGAAAAGCTGCATTGCCCCTGCCAAGGGTAAGCGCATCACTCTGAGGGTGGGACATCCATGGGACAAGGGGGCAATCCTAGTGTGGCTGACTTCACCACGCAGTGTGGAATGGCATGCCTCCTTGCTGAGATGGCAGTTGTCCTGCTGTGACTGATAAGGCAGCTGAACCTAAACTCTAAGCTACTTGCCCCCAAAGAATTTATCCATTTAAGGAAATGATGACAGTAGACTAGTGCAAATGAGTGGCATCTTCTCTGTTAGCCTCCGACTGGGCAGGTCAACTGGATACAGGAGAGGAAGAGCCGGAGGTGGCTCTCTAGCCTTACTGAGGAAACAAAAAAAAAGCCAGGCAGTTTCCTGTCTAAACAAACCAAACAAATTCTGTTTACAGCAAACTTGTTAAAGTCATGCAGCCAGCCAGGAGTGGTGGGTGCTGCAGCACTTTTGGGGGGCTATAAACAAATATCCATTCACCCAGATAGTGTGGACAGATTAAATAAATGGAGACTCAGAGTCAGCTGTGCCATCATAAGGTCCACAAAAGCTGCATCCCTGGAGCCCCCGCCCAACATGCAGGCAGTCACCGAAGACTCCTTCCTCCTCTCTCCTCCTCTTCCTCAATAAGTGATTGCGATAGCTCTTCCTGGTTGTTGGCTTGACTGTCTCTGGAATGAACTACAGTCCAGAAATGCAGGGCACACTTGTGATCCAGGATCTTGAGGCAGGAAGACAACATGCCTTTGATCTGGATCTTGAGGCTGGAAGGCGCACCTTTAATCTGGGCCATTCTTTCTGCTGGAAGCCTGTATGAGGACAGTGGGGGAAGGAAGGCTGTTCTTCATCTGTTTGCCCTCACCTGTTGCCCAGCCATTCCTTCTCAAGATCCCAGCAGACCAGCTGAGATGGCCAGCCTTGTGGGACTGAGCAGCTCCTAGATTCTTGGACTTTCCATTTATAACTAGGCCTTGTTGGACTGCAGCTTGTAAGACATTCCAATAAATTCATACATACATGCATATGTGTATACACACACACACATATATATATGAGTTGGGGGAGATATTCATTCCATAAGTTCTGCAATGCTAGAGAACCCGCCTAACACAGTGCCTATTGTTTCTAAAATAAGAGAGATGGCTCCATGAGTCTCCCATTGCAAAGGACACTTAAGTTCCAAAGAAGTAGCTACACAACACAGTGTCTCATTGTACAGCTCAGGCTGCCCATCAAATTGTGTTCCTCCTGCTTCAGCCTTCAGAGGTCTGGGATTACAGCTGTGTGCCACCCTACCCAGATAATATGAGGATTTTTGTTTGGCTTTGTGGTGCTGGACGATCCAACTCATGCTTTCCTTGGCCAGTATTCCACTGCTGAGCCACAGGCCCAGGCTTTTCAGGATTTTTTTTTTTCAAAGTAGAACTGTGCAGATGGCTCTGTGGGAAAAGCACTTGCATTGCAAGCATGAGAAGCCGAGTTCATATCTCTAGAACCCATGTAGAAATTTCCAGTGGGTGTAGTAGACTGCCTATAATCCCAATGCCCAGGAAGGGGGAGACAGGGGACCCCACTCCCCAGCAAGGATGCTAGTTATAGTTATAGACTAACCCAGTTGGTGAGCTCTGGATCCAAAGGAGACCATAAAATACAAGGTGGAGATGGATCAAGGAGGACACCTGACATCAACCTCTGGTGTCTCCATGCACACACATACATGGGTCTCTGCACACAAGTGTGTCCACACCTATGTAAACATGTATACAGATATATGTGAATATACTACAAACACAAGCAAACACAAAAGAAAAGCCATAAACAATAGGAAGAACTCTAAAATTTAAAAAAAATGTCACATCCACACCCTGGTAATGGGCAAAGAGACCCCCTTGGTGGTGGTGTCTTCTATCAGTCAAGGTGGGGCAGATGGCAGTCCTTTGGTCATCCTAGTTTGGTGCCTAGCTTGGGGACCAAAGCTGTTTCACGCCTAGGGCATATAAAATCCAGAAGAAAGGAAGAGGAGAAGAAGGAGGAAGAGGAGGAGGAGGAGGAGGAGGAGGAGGAGGAGGAGGAGGAGGAGGAGGAGAGCGGGAGCAGAAGAAGAAGAGAGGGAACAGGAAGGGGGAAGGGGAGGGGAAGCAGAGACAGAGGAAGATCATCTGGGCTATGGGATATCAATGGACAAAAGTATTTGCCACACAAATCTGATGGCTTGGGATGGATCCCTGGATCTCACTGTAAAAGGTGGAAGGAAAGGATGGATCATAAACTCCGCCCTCCAGCCACATGTGAACATGTGTGCATGCATCCTCACATGTCACACACACAATCACAATCATAAACAATCATCATAATAGTATTAATATATTTTTAAAAGATCACGTTCCAAAGGGAGGAGCAGGAAGCTAGCAAGGAAAGGCTGGGTCAAAGACTGCAACCCAGAAGGGTGAGCACCAGATTCTGCAGTTCTGTGTCCGGCATTCAGGTCACATGGTGCCATCACACACCCTCCAAGGGCTCTTCTGCAGCCCCTGCATCTCTGCCACCTGCCGGCGATATGACCAAGTCCTGCCGGGCTCCACGGCTTGCCTGCAGGTCTCCTCAGGTGACATCCTAACTTTCCGGCATCTCCAGGACCATGGCCTCTCCGTTATGACTTAGGGGGAAATCGATATATTTGATCAAATTACACAGTGACCGAGCAGGCAGGGAAGGAGCTGCAGGGCTGGAAGAGGAGAGGTGTGTATGTCTTTGAAGGATGCCATAGCGGCCATGAGCTAGAGCCAGTCATCCTTCCAAACAGGAATCTCCTCCCTAGGGCACACCTCGCTGTACTCATTCCCTGCTATAAAATATGCTGCGTGTAATTAGCAACTGAGTGTGTTTGATAAGTAGCACAGAGGACGTGGAAGCTTGTGTTTCTGCCTTGGGCAGCTCAGTGAGGCCTGGGGTCTGGAACGCAAACAGCTAAAACGACTAATAGAATGTGAACCCACATGTGAAGCAGAAGTCGCTGTGCTGTTCGTCCTTCCACAGAGCTAAATCTGCTTTTTAAAAATTGTGCCTCGGTGGTTAAGGGCACTGGCTGCTCTTCCAGAGGATCCCGGTTCAATTTCCAGAATACAGAGGTTCACAATCGTCTGTGACTCCAGTTACAGGGGATCTGAGGCCCTCTTCTTACATAATATATATAATATATGTATTTATATATAATACATAAATATATTTATATATAAAATATTATATTTAAATAATTGTTATATTGACTTTTCTTGAGCGCCCTCTGGTGGAAAGATTCTAATTCCCAATTGGATGGCAAACTGAGCACACCCATCACAGTTTAGGGCTCCTCTCCTAGAGAATCAGGGTTTGTTTCAGTTCCCCAGCGCTTTGCACAGTTAGCACCTGATAGGCAAACAGAAACCCTGTTGAAAGAGTAAACACTGACGACAGCATGGACGTCCAGCGTGAAATGCTACGGAGGAGGGGTGGGGGAACAACATTTCGGGAGGTGAGGTAAGAAGCTGGAAACAGGACTTCTAGTTCTTCTGACTGTAAAAGCCAGAGCTATGCCTGGAACTGAGCCAGAAAATCAGTTTCAGGCTCAAAAGGCCCTGAAACCCCACACTGGTTCCCAGAGGTCATGCAGGGCCCCTTGCAGAATCTTCCCTGAACCCAGTCAATGAATGTCTCATAAAGAAATAGACACAGACCCTCTCCCCAAATGAAGCAACTCAAGGTGACTGAACTCTTCGTGTCTCTTTAGCACAGGTCCCCAGTTCCAAGGTCGCAGCCCCCAGAGAGCAGACCCCAGAAGACCAGCAAGCATCTGCCTTCCATTGGAGAGCCTACACTGAGAAGCCCAGTGGCTACTCGGAGGTATAGAAATGCAACTCTTATCGAGGTTGAGCCTTGTGTGGCTGCAATCCTGGCATTTGAGTGGCAGAGGCAGCAGGGTTACTAAAAGTTCAAGGTCACCCTGGACTACAGAGTGAGACTCTGCCTCAAGAATGAAAATAAAGCTGGTTGTGGTGGCTCTGTGAGTTTTAGGCCAGCCTGCCCATATAATGAGTTCTAGTCTAGCCAGGGCCATGTAATGAGACCTGGGGGGGGAGGGGGGGTTGAACAGAAAAAAATGAGAAAAATGTGGGGGTAGCAAGATGGCTCAGTGGGTAGAAGCACTTGCTGTCTAGCCTAAGGACCTGAGTTCCATCCTCAGGACCCACATGGTGGAGAGTCAACTCCTGCAGGTTGTCCTCTGATTTCCAAATGCGTGCTGTAAATAAATGTACTAAAAAAATGAAAAATAGGGAATGAGGATACTGCTTGATAGACAGAGTTTTGTCTAGCATGCTGGAAGCCCTGGCTTTGGTCCTTACCACTGATCTAGGTTCAGTCCCTTATAAATTGGGCATGGTGGCACATGCCTGTACTCACAGGACTTAGGAGGTAGAGGCTGAAAGTTCAGACGTTCAAAGCCATCCTTGGCTACATAGTAGGTCCAAAGCCAACCTAGAATATGTGATACCATCTCAAAATAATAAGACTAGGAAGAATACTAGGAATATGGCTCAGTTGGTAAAATACTTTAGAACATGAATTTGTTCTATAACCCATATTAAAAAAATAAATAAATCAAGCTGGGTATGTTGGCATATACATACAATACCAGTACTGGCTTCCACATGCACACATGTGCGTACAAATGTACCCATATGCCAGTGCACACACACACACACAAACACACAAATCTTAATTATTACACATTCTTTAATTTTACAATGTCAGCTCTAATTACTTTTGAAACCTATGAACTAAAAAAACAACCCTGTGTTCCTGGCCAAAAGTTAATGAGCCTTCACCGAGGATCAGCGCTGGCTCCACTCCTGGCCATGCTCTGCCTACATGTATGCATGGCTAACTTTTAAATAAGGTCAGTTGATAATTGTGGGTCAATGAGGACCAGAGGGCAGGAGTGTTCTTCCTTTGAAGGTCCAGAACAATCAACTCCTATTCAGAGGAAGACCACGGCATTTTTTCTCTGAAGGAAAATGATTCCTAGAGCTCTAACGTGCCCCCACCACAGCCATGGCCTCAGCTTTGTGTTCCCCAGCTGCTGATCATCGCAGTCTGCTGCTCTGGGCACTTGAACCACTCCGAGCCTCTGAAATACAAGAGTTTCTCAACAGTGAAATGGGTTTTTAAATGGGCAGCTTTCATTTGTGTCATTCAGCTAATTCCAATCAAGCAATGTGTGCTGAAGCGAAGGAATTCCTTAGCTAGCTGGACTTTTACAAAGAGCTTGGAGCTGGAAAGTGGTGGCACACACCTTTAACCCCAGCACTTGGGAGCCAAAGGCAGGCAGATCTTTGAGTCTGAGGTGAGCCTGGTCTACAGAGAGAGTTCTAGGACAGTCAGGGCTACACAGAGAAATGTTATGTTTGAGAGAACAAAAAGAGGTAGGGTTGATGTAGAAATAAAGACTTTAGTATATTATAAATGTACAAACAAAACACAGATATTGTATATAGTGCACCAGGGTCTACATTCAACCCTAATGTACAACATGCATGCATGCATGTGTGTGCGTTCACACACACACAGTTTGATCCCTTGATTTAGCCTGGCTACAGGTATGGGAATTTTTCTTAAACCATTGTTCAGAAGCCCCTAGGAGGCATTCTATAAGGAAAACCCCCACGAGTACAGTGCCTCCCAAAGCCTGAACACAGAGCTGCATCATTTACTTTCCTTGATGCTGTATTCAAATGCCTGGCAAGAAGCAACTTAAGGAAGAAACCAAGAGACACAGTCTGCCATAACAGGGAAGGTGAGCTATAGTCCCACCACAGCAGGGAAGGCATGGTGGGAGGAGTCTGAGGCAGCTGGGTCAAGAGGCTCGCGCATGCTTTTCATCTGCACTTATCGTACATGAGACCATGCCTAAAGTGGACCGGTATCTTAAAGGCTATCACCTGAGGGAGTTCCCACAGCATACCCCCCTTTTGTCTAAATAAGAGAGTTCCAAGCCTACTACAAAACTATATACAGTAAGAACAAATATCAATATTATCCAGGGAAAAGAAGCAAAAAACATAAGTAAAAATTAGAATTACAACCAGCTTGAGCAACAACAAGCAAGAAACATATGCTAAATGTTTCAATGGTTATCCTATGCTAAAAATGGCTTGACTAAGTCATGAGAGAAAAGTAACATGACTATCTAGTCTTCAACCCCATCAAAGACCTGAGAAGGAAAATAATATTACTTGAGTAAACAGAAAGTGCAATCAAGCAACTTCTAAAATGTGCAAGAAGTAACAGAGACAACCAGCTACCTGGGCAATCACTCAAAGTCTCATTTGCAATGTTGTGGAAGCCAGCTTTGGCTAAGGCCTATAGTAACTGACAGACCATTTTCAGAGGCAGGAAAATTTGAAAAACCGTCTTACCCTGTCTTGGCAAGGTTTGGCAGTCTTTTTGCTTTTATCCTGCTTGTCCAGTCTAGATACCATGCATTATGTCAGTGGTTGAGGTAGGTGCAGTTCTTCGGCCAAAGGCCATTTTTGCCAAGAAGAAAACAAGCTCCAAGGGGAGCATCCTCTGTGCCCAACGTTCTCTCGGGAATAAGTCAGTACTGCCAGGAACAATCGTGTCTCACATCAACAGAATCCTGAGTTATTTAAATCCCATATTCTACAGTTCTTTGAAGAGTTTGAAGATTACCTATCTATCTGAAATATATCTCTGTACATCCAGAAAACCTAACTTACATGATTACAGTGTTTGATTTTTACAGATGACTATCTATTAATCTGCATTTTTTAACTATACATTGCATTTTTAAGTGAGTGGCACAAGCACAATACATTAAACAAGAGCAAAAATACATATACACAGTGTGGCAAATCGACCTTAAATTTTTATCAATAGACCAAAGTCCATACCAATGTAAAGTATTCATCTCTATATATCATATTACTCTTATTTATTTAGAAAT